AATCAGTGGCCGCCGTGCCGATTGGACCCAGCTGGGCTCAACCCTCCACTAAGCGAATTACAAGTTGTGTAATAGCTTACATAGAGGTTCTCCTATATAATCGTGCTGTTGGGTGGTTACAAGATGCAAGGTTGCTGGTTGTGTGTTTCATGGTTAAACGTAACGCCAGTGGCTAGTGTGCTTTTACAGTTTTGACGGTAGTTGTAGAAGAACGTGACGTATGAGAAATTGGAGTCCCTCCGGAAACGATGCTTGTAGAAATGTGATGTGTTATTTATCTTATATTTACACTGCGTCGGCCACTTTTTACTGTACTTTGCCTTGTGAGCGCTCAGCTTTTACTGTCACGTACAGTGTACCTCTTTGTGTGAGCGTCATTGAACAGGTTCACTCGTGGTTTAGCAGAACACTTCTTATTATTTATTTTAACTGCAAGTGGGCTTTTACCCGATGACAGTGGTACTACAATAAGAAACAACATATAATAACGCAGCACACAAAATAACACACCAAGCTCAAACAAAACTACACAAACAATAAAGGGCACACTACACACAATGAATACAATGCAAATACAGTTACGGCGACAACAGATACAATTACAACTACAGTTATATAAATGAATATTAATAAAAATGAGCGTATTTTACACTAAACAGTAACAGTAATGAAATACGTGATATCCTGAACTGATGCACTCACATTTCACCTTCACTTCGCCTTATTTATCACTTTCCTAACCCTTTTCCTAAAATCACTTGGTTTACAGGAGAGAGTCCCTAAAGCATCTGCAGGTATTTGGTTCCAGAGCTGGATGGTCCTATTTACAAAAGAATGTTATCAGATATCTCTTTTCTGCTCCTAATTTTCCTATTATGATCGACCCTGCTCAGATAGCATGGTCTTTGTAATCGGTCACCTATAGCCTTCCAAAGTCGTTCTCCCGTGTACTTTTCTGCGCTGTGTCAAGGTTTCCAAGTTCGAATCATTTCTGTATGTGCAAATTTAGCCGCTATGTTTTGCACCCGGTTTGGGCTCATTTATCTGTCACTTCCTGTAAAGATTCCAGTACGTCGCGCCACATTCAAGAATCTGACGCACTAAAGATGTGTAGGCTAAATTTGAATTATACTATTTCCCTTTTTAAGAATATGCATTGTAAGATGAAGTGTCTTTCAGGCTTTCTTTCATCGCGTAATTAACTTGATCAGCCCAACTTAAATCGCTGTTTAAAATTATAATTATAATTTAGTGAAATGAACTTCACCTAAATTTGGGTACTAGTATTTGCGCTATACCAGATGTAATGGTTTTGTTGGAAACGGCATTTTCTGTTCGGTCCGTGTAAAGTGATTATAAAGAAGAGTTCAGTTGATAATGTGACCAACCCGTGTGGAGGCGGGTTCGAATACCTCCACCCTGACCCTGTAAGTCGTAGGAGGTGACGAAAAGGGAAGTCTCAAATGTGAGACGGTAAAATATGGTCGCGAGTACCAAGGGACTCTGACCCGAGAAAGACTGCGCTGGCAAGGGCCTGCAGCATATACAAAAGGCAGACCCGTCCTCTCGTCAGAGAGGGACTCGACACCAAGATTTACTGACTGACTGACTGACCGACCATCAGTCACAATCTGACTTTGACTTTGACTTGAGAATAGTCGAGTTCCGGAGTTCCAAGTGAGCAGTTAGCCCAGATTTGGGCTCTGCAAGGGAGACCGAGAAGATGGCTGTGGAGTGTTGTCCAGCTGACAGCGGCGTGACCACGTAAACTTAAGAATCTCCATCTCGGCGACGCTCCCAGGAAGCGTCGCCGAGCAATAACCAGTGTTGAGATCTGTTACCTAGCAACTACTATTGAAAGCAGACCGAGAAGACTTCAGCGTGGAGTGATTTGTAGTGTGGAAGTCAACAACAGTTTTGTAGTTGTTTGAATTTACGACCTGTTAAGTGGTCAGAAAATCTATTCACCAATCCAAACCTCGCCTGTAGTCACTAATACACGTGACAGCTTGTAGAGTTGTCGTGTTTTCGTGCATGTTCTGTCATTAAGTGATTTTGGCTGGAGGTTTATTATTATGCGAATGTTTGTCACCGTACTTTCTTTAGCCCGAGGTAGAGGCAATAAGTGTCGTTGTTAGCCACTGTGTTCTTACCAGCCGAGTCAGTTACAAGGGACCCTTTTTTTTATTATTTGCTTGTTAATGGTTGTAGCTGTTAATGATTACATCATGAATCGGATTATCGGTATCTGTATGTGTATCTTATTAATTCTTAAGCCCTATATCATGATCCTGCGTATACCGAAGGTCTTTAGTTTCTCCTCACATATTCCTGTTTTATTCTTAAAACCTCTGTCGTGGCCGTAACATTATAAATGTTTCTCTTGCCGAATTCTCCTTGCAGACTGCAATTCTAACCATAAGTTCGCTGAATGGATCACTTCACCGTTCCTTCCTTGTACGAAATCACCGTGTTCAATCCGACAGTGTGTCCGTTTGCCGACTCATATGTTAACTTTATGCGCAGAATCCTTCTTTAAAAGCTAGTAGTCACGTAGTTACTGAACAAATCCCCAGCATTTTGTCGAACCCGGAAGTTTAATTACATTCCCAGTAGCCGCCGTGGAACCCTATCCTGGTCTAACTGAATTCGCTCTTCTTCCATCCTGTTTCGTTAATATTCTTTTTAATGTCCTGTGTATGCATAGGGATAGAGCAGTCGGTATAGCGACTGGCTACGGGATAGACGACGAGGGGTCGGAGTTCGAGTCCCGGTAGGGGCGAGATTTTTCTCCTCTCCACGTCCAGACCAGTTCTCTGGCTAACCTAGCCTCGTATTCAGTGAGTACCCAGGGCTCTTTCCCCAGAGTTATAGTAGCCGAGGCGTGAAGCTGACCACTCAACTGCAACTAGTGCCGAGGTGAAGAGTCTACATCCACTCCCACATACGTGTTCGGGACGTAGTTCTTAATTAGTTAAGCACTGGGAGTTTTTTTTTTCCTTGGCACTACAGCCCCAGTGGGCCTAGGCCTACCTCCATGAACTGCGTTCACTTCGGTTTTTCTAGATCTTACACATTCGGTAGGACTCCTTTGGCGGGTGATCAGCTCGTCGCAAGGTCTCTGCCTGTACACAAACACAGAAAAACGCAAACACACAAACTAAACATCCATGCCCTGAATGGGATTCGAACTCACGATCCCGGTTTCCAAGCGAGCGAAGACAGTACATGCCTTAGACCGCTCGGCTACCGTGACCGGCTAGCAGTGGGAGTACCGTTCACATTTTTACCTGTCCATGCCAAGATGTTCCAGGTGGTCTCTTCCTTTCATGGTTTCTGACCAAAACTTTCTGTATACTCCCCTGCCCCATGCGTGCTAGATTCCTCTCGCCTATTGACTTGATCATCCCAGTAATATTTTTTAATATTATCAAGATTCTCTTTGTGCAGTTTCCTCCAGTCACATGCTGTTTGATGCGAATGCAGACAGTCAGTATTATAATCCACAGCTGACCGATTTTGGCGAGATTTGGTACCAGTATCATGCCATTTTCTCCATCTTGGCATTTTAAAACTTATTTTCAGTAATATTTTGAACATTATGGCCGTACAAAATTGTAAGGTGGGAGATGCGCAACATCATTCAGCATAGGATCCTGAAATTGAGTGTGATAAATTGAAAGCCCTTATCTAGGCAGTTTCAATAAAATGGAAAATACTAACTCGACCACTGTGCGAAATATTCGTAGTGTTGATTATAAATGATAGTGTACTTGACTTCGCAATTTATTATGCTGAAATGTTTCATATTTGTTAGAAGTACACATGGCCTAAGAATTTAAAAAGTCAAATCTTTCGGAATCCTAAAATTGTATGCAGTAACAGCGGACGCTTTTAATACTCGGTGTTAAGTATATAATTATTGATTTCAACAATTAGAAAGAGTAGTGAAGCAGTTGTTTGTACAAATTCATACCAGTATCAAAAACAAACAGACTCCGTGGTTTATTCTGCAAGCGAAATATACCGACCGAGCGACCGCCGCTTGTCGGCGAAGTTAGTGCTAACTTTAGTGGATAGAGGATGTCGCGTTGTCAGCCCAACGAATCCCCACGGACGTTAATTTCGGTTTTCTACACCGGAGCCCTACTTGCTTGAAATAGCTCCTCAGTTATCCTCACGAGGCTGAGTGGACCTCGTTCCAGACCCACTACTTCTTAGGAAGTCTGGTAGCCCCGGGAATCGAACCCGGACCTCTGGATCTGTAGCCAGGAACTGTGACCACTAGACCACAGAGGCGGTCTCATACCAATATCTAGTGTACATTGTTTGGTGCAGACGTACTGTCCCCCCCCCCATTCCAGCGTTCGTGTCTTACGAAGATGTGTCTAGGTACTGCTTCCTCCTGGCTCGTATCTAGTAGAACATTCTGAGGGCCGTTACCCTTGTTACCTAATTTTCTGGATAGGTCGAGATTCCCGTCTTGTAATTGCGCTTTGAAGTTACCAATGTGTCCCGTACCCTTCAGTCACTGGTGCAGAAATAAACAGCAGCACTAAAATTCGCATAGTCTGGAGTGGAGTCTACTTGGATCCGCTCGGCACGGCGTCTTCTGATTGACCTATTGTGCCTGCCCCGGGTGATTATGATGATGGAGAATTTTGTGGAATGAACTTTGTCCACAACAAATCCCACTTGACCAGATCCGGGTTTGAACCGGGGCCGCCGCGGTGGGAAGCCAGCGACTAACCTCTTGAACTGTGGCGCGTCCTTCACAGCAGCACTAACACTACACATTAATTGCATCCCACTTTTATCTTCCCTAAGCCATTTACATGGAATTCGCCCAATTTCAAATGTGCCTTTGATTCTGTCTATGAAAGTTGGATTAGTTTGTCAGATGGCATAGACGGTTCTTAAGATTTCCCTTACATTCGTAAGTTTTCTGTTCAGGCTTCTTTTTTGTAATATTCGTGTCCGCTTTTTTCTTTCATTTCCAGGATTTAATGAGAGCAGTTCCGTAAAAGATTCGTAACAGAGCTATGCATTCCAAACGAAGAAAGGTAGAGTCCTCATCTCATAGTGACACAAACCGGCATGACGAGCAAGAAGCCCTGGGGAAGTGGCAGGTGACACCTGTGCTTGACGATGATGTCATGTCCGATAAAGTGATGCTGCTTGACGTCTATGTAGACAAAGTAACGGATCCGAAACACACGTCTAGGCTGATCCGGGATCTTAACGCTCTGTGTCCCATACCATCTCTTCAGCATCTGAAGAGAGTTTCGAAGCTGGGGATGATCCTTAATTTGGCTCCGGAAGAAGAAACGCCCGAAATTTGCCTTCAGAAGCTGAAAGATTGGGGACTAGACACCGCAGGTCTTGGCTGTGAACCTAGGCGTTTACAAGTACCAGCAGTCCCTCCGAGGACCCGTCGTCAGTATGAGGAGGCCATGAAATTATGGCCTTGTAACTTTCATGAAAACAGATACTTGGAGAAGGTTCTTAGTGGGAAGTTGTTTGATGATACGGACCGGTTAGAGCAGCAAAAGTATATGACCAAGTGTTTGGAGGCTGCACGCTATAGTTCTGAATCTGGCGGTGCTGGGGTTGGAGCACTGGTGGTAGATCCGGCAAAGAAACAGATTATTGCCATAGGTTACGATGATAGAGGTAGATACCATTTAAAGCATGCTGTTATGGTAGCCATTGATCTGGTGTCACATTCGCACGGAGGGGGCGCCTGGACTGTAGGAGATAAACAATACTTTTTGAAAGATGATGTATCATATAAAAGTAAAGCACACATGCAAGACGTAATCAGTGATCCAGTGGTAATGAAAGGGGCCAAACGCCATTCCAGCTGTGAAACTGTCAGTAGTCAAACTTCGAAAGTTGTTGGGTCTGATTGTGCGAGCGGAGGACAGGAGGAAGCCAGATCGAGGTACAGTCATGGAAGTCCTGGCTCCAGTGATCCCGTGCTGAAGACAGGTCCTTACATCTGTACGGGATATGATGTATATGTAACTAGGGAGCCATGTGTCATGTGCGCCATGGCAATGGTTCACAGCAGAGTTAGGCGTGTGTTTTATGGTTGTCCAAGTCCTCATGGGGCATTGGGTACAACTATTAAACTAAACACTCTGAAATGTCTCAATCATCACTATGAAGTATTTGCGGGGATTTTGGAAAGCGAGTGTAAAAATATTCTAACCACATGCCCAAAGAACTCAGTCGTGAACTTTTGAGCAGTGTATTGGCACTCTTCGTGCTTTCGAACTCAAGCAGAACCCTTCAGAGGTAACGTAAGTGCACTCTTTAACATGTACGTTCTCAACATATTGGGAAGCAGTATGAAAACCAGAAGTTCCCTGAAAAACTGTTCCGCTTTTCACGAAAATATCCTGTGACAAAGAGAGAAGATTCGTTTATGCAGGCTTTTCCGTTTGTAACAAACTCATCCACTTATAATATTTGTATGGCTTTAATATCCGTTGCCGATAATGTATATAATTAAGTTTCATAAGTATCGAGGCGTGCCGGATTTCCATGGACAACTCAGAAGGAGGCCATCAGTTGCATACATAACTTGCAACCAACATTGCCGTTGTCAGTAACATTTCGCCAAGAGTAGTCATTCATGAGCACAGGGATTCTCTGGTTGTAGTGCAGCCAACATTTATTTTGTGGCGGCGAAGCGAAATGCTGTTTTCAGACGTTGGTGGCACTGATTTAAACACCGCACAGCTGTAGACTTCACCGTATTTAAGCTTCGTAGTTTTCCACAGGCCCTCCAGGCAAATTCTGAGATTATACTTCTCCTTCCGTATCTTTTCCAGTTCGGTATTCATCCCTCAGCCTACTGTTCTGCGCTGTAGTGTGAGATACCGAGTCTCGTAACATAAGCTACACGAACAAATAAACAGTTTCTAGTATGTAGCTGAAAGCTTTTCGCAGGTAATACCGAATTTGCTTGTTACAGAGATCGCCTCTGTGGTCTCGTGGTCAGAGTTCCTGCCTATAGATGCAGAGGTCCCGGGTTCGATTCCCGGCGCTACCATATTTTCTGAGAAGTAGTGGGTCTGGAACGGGGTCCACTCAGTCTCGTGAGGATAATTGTGGAGCTATTTCAAGGAAATAGCGGCTCCGGTCTAGAATACAACAGCCGTGGGGATCCGTTGCGCTGACCACGTGTCACCCTCTATCCGCAAAAGTTCGCTGTTACTACGTCGACAAGCGGCGGTCGCTCGGTCGGTATAGTTCGCTTGCGGACTACAGGCCACGGATTTCATTTCTACTTGTTACAGATTTTCTGCAACCAAAACAAAGGCAGAGGAGACAGATTTCTTGTTAGTGCAGCTTTTCATAGATTTGTAAGGTTATTTCGGCTGGTGCTCATCTCTCGGGTGACTGTGATAATCAGTCTAAAACCACTGTACCCTTTCCTCATCCAGTCTATAGTAAATTGCCGAATTCGCGAATATACTGCTCAGAAATTGAAGGAAAATCCCGTTCTTGTAGACAAACAGTAAATGTTTACAGTGGCAAAACCTGCCCACGTAGTTCTTATAGGAAGATCGCACATGCACAGTCGTTCTTCACATTTGTTGTACGGGTAGACTGGCGAACAAAAATACTCGTATATTGTCACGTGTTTATGGCACAGTGACTAATAATAACGGGTGCTTGATTGGATGATTGGATTTATTGACATTTTCTTAGAATCACTCGTTGCCAGAATCACAGTAACGCAACAATAGCTTTTCAGCGGAACTTGCTCAGTTCTGACTGGCTCCATTCTAGCCTGCTCTACGACTTACTTCTGATTTACAGCTGACCTGAACTCACAGTTATTGTTGGCTTCTCCTTATATAGTCTCAGGTAGGACCACGGCACAAAACATCCGTTGCCTAACAGTGGATATATGCGAACCACATAGAAAACACCTATTGCGACACCGGTTCTATTTTATATACAGCGCCGTTACATAGCAACGGAAGCTATCCTATTATTGCCTACATATTCGTTGCCGCGGGAATGTGTTTACCGAGTCGTTCCCTAGCAATGGGTCTGAATCCCACAACATTCTTCGTTTGGCTTAACAGTTTATCTGTTTAATCATTGTATATATTAACTCAGTTTCATTTTACCTTAAACTTTGTAATTTTTTAACAGCAGGTTCAGTGTTTTAATAAATTTTTAGCTGCAGATTCTATCGAGCAGTTGGGTGAGATGAGAAAATCGATCTGTACCCTAAATGGTAAGTTTATTAATTAACAATAAATGGGGAATAATGCTAATGAGATACACAAGTTTCTGACTGTAACATGAACAGTGTTTTGACGATAGGTTATACACGTTGGCCACTATCAAAACCTGTGTTATGGTCCGTTACTAATTTCGTGCATAGTCCCTGGATATTTGAATACAGTATTTGCTGGCTAATTTATGTGGCTTCTAAGAGTTGCCCTCTGGCAAAAATAGACTTTTGTATGTAGTAAATTAAATTCAAGGCCAGTGAGGTATGCACGGTTGCAAAGACGTGCTTGGAAAATATGTACCACTCTTGTTTATCTTCATGCCTGTTGCAGTTCTTTTGTGATTTCTCCGTTACAAAGAAGAAACGCCGTTGTTAGAAAGAACACGTGGTATTAATACTTTTCATAACACTTGCCACTCTTACGTCATAAGCTAACATGGTGACCTGTCAATTATCTGCATTGGCTGATATCTCGAAGACAGCTGCTGTGCTTTATGTGTACGCTTTTCATGTTCTGGTGGAAAATATATTCTTTTTACTTGTCGATCACAGTGGCCGCGCGGTCTAAGGCATGAATAGTCTTCGCCCGCTCGAACACTGGGATCCTGGGTCCGAATCCCACTAGAAGCATGGACGTCTGTATGTTTATTCGGTGTTTGTGTTCTTCTGTGTATAAATTTTTTTATTGCTAGTGGTGTGGGACTAAGTCCCTTGTACTGCGACCACTTCTGGCCTATTGTACCAGCCCCAGATGATAGGTGAGGGTGATTGTGGAACAATTGGTGGAATGAAGATTGGCAGGGGATCCGAAGTACTCGGAGTAAACCTGCCCCAGCGCCACTTTGTCCACCACAAATCCCACTTGACCAGACCCGGGATCGAACCCGGGCCGTCGCGATGGGGAGCCAGCGACTAACCGCTTGAGCTATGACGCGGCCCTCTGTGTGTAGATAGTGGCCTTGCTACGGTCTGGTCCGCCCCCCCCCTCCAAGGGGTCCTACCAACTGTATACTGTATAGAGCAAGAAACTGAAAATGCGGCCAAGGTCCACAAGGGCTGTAGAGCCATTAAAAGGAAAAGTTTTCTCTGTGCTTAGCTAATTAAGCACTACGCCATTAAGACATATAGGAGGGGTGGCTGTATAGATCCACGTTTTCTTGACCTCGGCACTTAGAAGGGGGCGGTCAGCTTTACATCCCGGCCACTTTACCCCCAGGGAAAGTTCTCCCGGTACACATTGGATAGGAAGTTGAATGGGCCCCACAGCCGGTCTGGACGACGTGGCGAAGAGAACATTCTTGAACCTACCGAGACTCGAACACCGACCGTCTGCCATCCAGTCACTATACCGACTACGCTATTCCGGCTCCTGTAGAGCCATGTATTTTTTTTTTACTTTTATTAATTTGATAAATGTTACTGTGCTTGTAATATATCTTCCATCATCACACTTTATAAGTCACATTACATATACAATTGGGGCACGCGGTAGCGTAGTTGGTTGAGGCACTATGCTACAAGCTGGAAGGTCGCGGGTTCAAGTCCCGATGAGGTCATTGGATGTTTTCCAATTGACCTAATCCTTCCAGCCGCACTATGGCCCTGGGGTCGACTCAGCCTCTAACAGAAATGAGTACCAAGAATCTTCCTAGGGAGTAAAGCGCGGCCGGCACGTAAGGCTATGGGCGTTAATGGCCTGTTACAGGGAAAGCTTTACTTTTTTTATTTTTACATATGTAATTATTCCGTGTACTGTTTGTTTTTAATCAATATGATCTAATGTTATAGACGTCCAACAGTAAACAACTTACGTTCTGAAAGTCTAGAATATTCTGTTGTTTGCACCACGTATGCGTGTTTTTAAAATTGCAAATAGAGAAACCGTTACTCAGATGAGATCTAAATTTTTGTTAGGGCGGTGGGTCCCTGACTCAGATGGTTAGTCGCCGCCTCCTCATCACGCAAGCCCCAGTGCACTTTGTAATCTGTAGTGGACAGAGTGGCACTGGGGAAGATTTCTCCAAGGACTTTGATTATCCCTAACTAAATATTGTATCAATGTTCCGTACTTGTGTGTCGTCAGGGACTGATACAGTGAACCCATTTGAACCCTCAGTGTCAAGACACCAATTCTTATCCGTCCTTGTGCAACTCAGTCAAAATATGCTTGGTTTCGATGCTTCTTCTTTCTGCTTTATACACAGAACCAAGCAAGCAGATATAACACCAGATAAAACGAAAGCAACATATTCAACAAACAAGTCAAAAGCCGTGGCATAACATAACCCGAATGAAACATCTAGAAGCGTATAATACATTAAAAGGAAAGCAGAGCAGACTCTTTAAATACACCAAGTACACCTGATGATGGCCAGTTAGGCCGAGACATGTGAAATAAAGCAGAAGCATCGAAACCTAGCGGATTTTGACTGAGATACACAAGGACGCATAAGAATCAGAGCAGTATTCAAGTTTATACACATTGCAACAGAATGATAAAATATAATACAAGTACATTGTCACGTATATATTTTTCTTTCCTTGGCACTACAACCCCAGTGGGCCTAGGTCTACCTCCATGAACTTCTCCGTTTCGGTTTTTCTAGATGTTAGACATACGGTAGGACTCCTTGGGCGGGTGCTCAGCTCGTCGCAAGGCCTCTACCTGTACACAAACTCAGAAAAACGCACAGAAACATCCGTGCCCTGAGTGGGATTCTAACCGAGCGAGCGAAGACAGTGCATGCCTTAGACCGCTCGGCTACCGTGACCAGCTGTCACGAATATTAGTAATATGATCGGGTTTATTTACTCCTGATGCACACCACCAGTAATTACGCGTAATTATAGCGCTGTCGGTATTTACACACTTTCCAGTCCACCGTTGCACTAGAATTTTCAGTTTCTACTACTCGTCTCCTGGCAGCGAATCTCAACAGAGAACCTAGCACTTCAAATCAATATGATGTATTCTTGCTATTTCGTCTTCAGTCACTCTGTAACCTCGGAACTAAAAATTCTTCTAGACTCACTCCTCTAACTTACGACTTAACTCGTAACTGCCCTGAACGAATTCTGTTACTCTTCTATAGCAGCGGAACGGATATGGACCTACGGTAAACACATCACGTGATCGTTATGCAGCCAGTCTATTGGCGCGTCTGTCGGATCTACAGAAAACATAGCTTTCTCTGTTGTTGCGCGTTGTACTGTGTTTACAGGGCTGTTGTTTGGCAACGCATTGATAAAATCCGTCATAATATTGTCAAGACACTACCCGCACTGCACCACTACAGCTAGGATGGCTCGCGCGATGAGCTCGAGCGCTGGGACGAATTTTGCACTTAGTTTATCGTTCCACCAGAATAGTCGCAGAATCGGAGTTGGCTTCCCAGTGGTGGCTGAAATAGTTCTCATCGCCATATCCAGCGTCCTGTCCAGTGGGAACTGAAAGCCCTGGTGCAGCTTTGGTATGAAAGTGAACGCCCATACCTATCTGGTGCCGAGGTTAAGAATGCATAGAGCTATATTTCTACTCCATAAGTCTTCACATCCTGGCGCTTAATGAAACTCAAGGATAACTTTGCATTTGTTTTGTAATTCCAATGGAACTTCGTCACTTTTCTCAAGAGTACCGCCTCGTACAACAAAGTTGATTATGACAAAATATACATCCATTAACTTACATGACTTTTACCTGGCTAGTATTTAACCACGTATGCGGGTTTTTGAGCGCTTTTCTCCATTTTAGCGAGCTTTCTTTGTCCTCCTGGTTATTGCGCTCT